GGCTAATTTAGGGCTTAAAGAAGTGGCCATCATACCAGAAATTTCCAGCAAGAACCAGACCTAGCAGGGAGAAGAAGCCGGCGGCATCTGCAGGGGAAACTCACGGACTACCCAAAAAAATTGAGGGAAATAAACAGAAATTAGCATAACCCAGCCTAAATCAAGGTTAAAGAGATGATTTCTTGGCTGTGGCTTACCCGAAAAATGCCAAGAAATTCAAACCCACATAGCAGCCGACGGACAGGGGAGAAGAGCAGAGCAAATCCGGGATTTTCTGGGTTGAGAGGGAAGATTCTAAGCCTCAAATCTTGTGATTTAACAAGAAAGGAAGAGAATTCATCAAGATCCCACCGGGTTTCTCAAGTGGGAAGAAAGTCGGTGGCTTGGGGGGCTTGTCGGGTGCAGGGGAGAAGAAGAAGAGCAGATCACGCGGATGAGGAAGAAGAAAAAGAAAGAACAACTCAGCCATCCTTATCCTAATTTTCTTTCTTTTTAAGTCCCTCAAATTTGGACATTTTGATCATTAAGCCCCTCCATAATATTTTCCCTCAAATAAATCCCTTATTTAATGCTAAAATATCCCCAAATTTTGGGGTATTACAAGAAGTTATAACACCATAGTATCCTTAAAATTCTAGCAGAAGGTAAAAAGTATAAAGAAGATGTGGCTGAATCCTGCATGGTATGCCCTCAGGAAAGTCACAACAAATTCACTAGCATTTGTACTAAGCTAAAGTGAAAAAACCAAAATATACATGAGTAGAACTTCAAGATAGAAAATTAGTACAAGAAGCAAATGCCTTGCACTCTATTCTGTATAAGTTCACATTAAAGGCATATGACTTTTTATCTCTATATAAATTTGTAAAAATGATAACAAGTTAAATTCTAGGGTAATTAGCATCCATCAATTCCAAAACCAACATCACATCCCTAAGATTCTCCAACAAAAAGAAATTAAGTGCAACAGAGCACATTAGGCAGAACAAATGCAGAAACAAAAAGGAGAGAGCAAATAGATGTGAAAATTAATTCTATCTTTTGCATTAATTACATAACCTCACAACCCTATAGGCTAATACACTAAGAACTTGAAATTCATAATCATCTAAAGATAGAAAACCAATTAGAAACTTGATAAATGCATAACAAAATTAAGGTGAAAAGGAGATGAACAAACTTTTGTATGAATCTTTCATAGAAAGAGAAAATCAACTATGCTCTAGCCTTAGCAAATGAATTAGGTGCAACCCATAAAATAGAAAAGTAGAGATCAATACAAATAAATCTTGTTAAGAAATTCCAAAATTATTTTTGAAAAAGGAATCTAAGAGGATAGTGGCTGTTCCCCTCACTGTCGCCTCCTAACCTAACTGATCGAGCAACCATGAAAGCGGAAAAATGACTAAAACTAAAGATAAGTGAACTCTTATCAACCCATGTTCTCTCTTGGCCACTGTAAATCAAATAGCTAAACATTTTAAATAACTTAAGGGGGAACTCACATGCCCTTAGGGAAAGCCACAAAAGAAATTATCAAAATATCTATTCTTTTTAAAAGACAACAAAAAAAATTAGCTTTGAGTAGAAAACTGGTGAAATACCATATATTGACCTTCCCTCTCTTCCTATACTTAAGTCATCGTTAGGAGCAAGCAGAATCTTTACATTTCCTATAAGATAACTTTTCATTTGGATTGTCCCATCTAAAATAAAAAGATGAGCAATATCTGATATGACACTAATAATAAATAAATAGTGACAAATTAAAAGAATCTCAATTATTAAGAAGCAATATGAATGAAATAAGAGACTGGTGCTAGGCCTGAGAGTAATAGAAAAATTATGGCCATAATGTTCAATCAAATAAATAAGGGTACTCACACTTGTGCTGAACATAACACTTATTTTCTCTATTATGTCCCCAAATATTTGATCCCTCTTCCTACCTCCAAGCTCATTTGCAATAACAGATTTTGTAACAGTAGTCCTTAGCATTTTGGTCCTTTACTGGAAACATGATTGCAAGAAGTCAACTTCCATTTATACCCCTCCCCTTTTTTTTCATTCAACATAAATATTAGAATGTCACAAAGAATAAATTATTTCTCAAGTATTTAACTAAACTCATGCTTGACACACTTCCCAAATCCAAACTAGAATGCAAACTACCAATGAAAATATATTCAGATCTTTCATCCCATAATGTAGATTCATCCCGAAAATCTTTCTTAATTCAAAAAGTCTATATCGTGTGTAGTTTTCAGATGACCCTACATCTCCAAAACCTGAAAACAAAAGACATTTGAGAATTAAGACAACTAAAATGATACTAGGCCAATGTAGCAAAGAAATACATACTATGTGCAATTTTTAGATGACCATTCATCACATGCTACTGTTGGTTGGATTTGTAAATGGCTACAACCACCATGCATAACAGTGTGATGAAGCCTAGTATCAAACAAACAACAACAGCTCTGGAGAAAATTGGTAGCAATAAAAGTAGTTAAACGGAAAAGACAACATGAAAAGTCTATTAATTGTAAGCATTGAACAAGTCAAGAAAAGAACTTACCTCTTGACCTTGACATAAAAGGGCCACATATTGATCCCATCCAGTTACCACATAGTAATGGATTTCCAAAATAACTATTACAACACCATAGAGATCATTATAGGAGAAAAATAAAGAAATGCATAGCAAGCTGGTAGAAATGCATAACATGTTGGCTTGCCATACCTGTCTAGTGAAAACCTTATGAAGTTTCAAATAGGAGGGATGATGCCTGATAAGTTGTTGTATGAGATATTACTAGAACCAACATTTGTTGAAATTCAGTCAGATATCACTAAAGATGAGAAACAACTTGAAACAAAGGAGACAACTTATAGGCTAGCAAGGCTCAAGCAATTAGTTAGCTAATCTGATATTTCACCTTGCAACTTGTTGCTGTTTAGTATTCTTCCATACAAAATAACAAGCATGTTAAAATTTCATGTTATGGACTTAACAACTTTAAATACTTTATCAAGCATCAAGCTACTGGACTATGGACTCACATGGACACAATGTTCTGCAACTGACCCAATTCTACAGGTATGCTTCTAGAGAGACTGTTGAATGAGAAGTCCCTACAGATGGAGAGATAAGAAATGTTACTAAATAGAAGCAATATATAAACACAATGGAGTCCTTGTTCCATTAGAAAAACTAACATGATTTCGATACTTTTAAGATTCCCAAACTCCAAAGGCAATGATCCATTAAGTTGATTTTCGTTTAGATTCTTGCAAGAAAAGAAATACAAATAAATTTTATACCATTGACAAGTCTTAGACATCAGTCACTGTGCAATATATAGATCAGTTACAAGCTTACAAAGTAAGAAGGTACTCTAAATCACCAATAGTAGCTGGTACAGGTCCATAGAAATTATTGTCAGATAGATCCCTAAAAGAAGGATGGTATACCAAGATTATTAGATTAGATGGATCATCACAGGCGAAATTAACTTGAGAAACTTAAAATTTATCAAGATTCATGATATGACCTAGTTCAATAGGTATTTAAAACAATGACCTTCACAAACATACCATTCATGTATTTAAAACAATGAAAGCTAGCAATCGAGAAGATCAACTAAAGGATGTATTTCTAGGGTGAGATATGATGAATTTGCAAAAGAGAAGAATTATATGGATTTCTAAATAGATATTTTTAGAATTTTTCTTAAAATAATAGTGGTTTTTTTATATTTTAAGGGAGATAAATATTTTCTCCTACTTTAATTTTATGATTATATCTTAATTTTAAAAATCCTTCCTATCATGAAAAAGGTTATTTATTTATTTTTATTTTTTAAGGGTAAAA